AACCTCTGTCTGTGACGGAGCCCCTCAGACATGGCTACTCTAGTCACTAGCAGATTCCGACAGTGGTTGCTTTCGTAATCGCTTCCAACATAAAAGCTCCTTAACGGAAACACGTCTTCTGGAATCTCTGCGTGACAGTTTCCGGCGAGGAGTGGGTGTTCTTACAGGAGGTCCTGAAACTTCCCCACTGTTTTCGCTGGAAGTGTCTCTGAGCCATCCCTCCAGCTCAGCTCCTCTCCCCCTGCTGGTTCCCTCTTCAGCTGCTGCGTCTCTCCCAACCTGTGTGAGCCCTTTCACCTCCCTGTTGGTTCCCTCTTCAGCTGCTGCGTCTCTCCCAACCTGTGTGAGCCCTTTCACCTCCCTTCCGTCCGATGGCAGTTCCCTGACATCCACCTCCCCCTCCAGGGCCCCCTTCACCCCCTCTCGCCCCCTCCTCTACGGGCGGTGAGGAGGCAAAACCCGGAATGAACTTCCTTCATCTTCCGATGTCTCGAACACTTCTCTCAACCTGTTGCGGTTCCTGGTCTCGAAGTACACCTCCTCCTCAGAGTCCATCTCCCCTTCCCCTTCCGAGTCCAGGAATCCTTCCAACTCCTCCCCTTCATCAGTGGTCCCAAAGTATTCCCTCCGGAACCTCTCCACAGGCTGAGGTTTCCTTGGGAACCTTTGATGGAACGTTTCTATCAATACCTCGTCATTGATATCTTCAGCCATTACCCAAGTGTTTTCTGACTCCGGTTCTCCTTCCCACGCTACCAAATACTCCACCTGATCCCCCTTCCACCTGGCGTCGAGGATTTCTGCCACATGGCTGCTGCATTCTCTTTCTTCTACGACCCGGTCCCCGAGTGGCCAGCCCTTCTCGTCCCCCTTCGTACGGTGACAGTAACGACCTGTGAAATACTGGGTGCAGTTTCATGTGGTTGGGTAACCGGAGCCTGAAAGCCACTGGGTTGACCTGTTGAATGACCTCAAAGGGACCCAACCTCCTGGGTCTTAATTTCTTACAACCTCCTTTGAGCGGCAGCCCTTGGGTTGACAGCCACACCCTATCTCCCACCCTTATGGTTTCACCTTCCCTTCGGTTCTTGTCTGCCTGCCTCTTGTATTCTTCCTTCGCCCTTTCTAAGTTGAGTTGGAGCTGACGATGGATTGCTTCCATTTCTTCCACAAAATGCTCGGCTGCCGGGACGCTCCATCTCTCCCCCTCTCCCCCTGGGAAAGCCCTGGGATGACACCCATAATTAGCCAAGAAGGGGCTCATCCCTGTGGACACATTCTCGGCATTGTTGTAGGCAAATTCCGCCAGCGCCAACTTTTCTACCCAGTCATTCTCTCTGTCATTGACATAACACCTCAGGTATTGCTGGAGGACACCGTTTGCTCTTTCCGCCTGCCCGTTGGTTTCAGGGTGCCGGGCAGTCGAAAAATTGACCTCCACCTGCAGTAAGCTCATGAGCTTCCTCCAGAACCTGGAAGTAAATTGTTTTCCTCGGTCTGAGACCACCCTCAATGGCACCCCGTGCAACCTAAAAATGTTTTCTACAAATAACTTCGCTGTCTCTTCCGCCGTGACTGCATGCGAGCAAGCTACAAAGTGGCACATCTTTGTTAGTAGGTCTACCACCACCATGATGGCTGTTTTCCCTTTGGACTTCGGCAGATCAGTCATAAAATCTATCGACACTGCCTCCCAAGGTCGTTCTGGGGTTGGTAAGGGTTCTAATAGCCCCGCCGGCGCCCGCCTTTCCCCTTTGGCTCGCTGGCATTGCTCGCACCCTCTTACATACTCACGTACATCTTCCCTCACCTTAGGCCACCAAAATTCCCTGGTGACCAACCACATGGTTTTGTGTTGTCCAAAATGCCCCGCCGTAGGGCTGTCGTGCAACTGCTTGAGTACCCTCCCCTTAACTCTCCTTCAGGGATATACAGTGCCCCTTTGTAATACAAAGCTCCATTTCTTTCCTCAAAACCCCCTGGTTCCTCTCCATCACCCCTAAGACCTCTGAGCTTATTCTGGGCGTATTCATCATTCTCTGTTTCCTCTACCAGTTCTCTTTGTCCCACCAATGCCGCCCCACACACCCAGCGGTCTTCTGGAATGACATGTCTCTCTTCGGGTGCCCCCTCCCCTCCAAATATTCAGGTTTGCGTGAGAGAGCGTCCGCCCTAATGTTCTCTGGGCCTGGCACGTAACTAATCTCAAAGTTAAATTTGGAGAACTCCTGGGCCCATCTCACTTGCCGTTGGTTGAGCACTCGTGCCGTCCTCCAATACTCTAGGTTCTTGTGGTCAGTGCACACTTGCACCTTATGTTGTGCGCCAATTAGCAGGTGCCTCCATCTCCGGAACGCCTCATGAATGGCTAGTAGTTCTCGGTCATACACCGTGTAGTTCCTCTCGGATTTGTTCAGCTTTCGCGAAAAAAGGCACACGGTCTCCACTCTGACCCCTTCTTGCCTGGCTGCAGAAGCACCGCCCCAATCGCTCTGTCTGATGCGTCAGTTTCCACTCTCATCGGTTTTTGTAAATCCACATGCAGGAGTTGTTGTTCCGAGGCGAAGGCCCTTTTTAGTTCCTCAAATGCTCGCTCCGCCTCCTCAGTCCACACGAACTTCTTCTTACTGCTGAGACAGTCCGTAATGGGCGCCGTCAGGTGGGCAAAGTTTCGGATGAACTTACGATAGAAGTTCCCAAATCCTAGGAACCTCTGCACATCCTTCTTTGTTTTGGGTGTTTTCCATTCCAGCACCGCCTGGACCTTGCCGGGATCCATGGCCAATCCTTTGTCTGACAGGCGATACCCCAGGAATTCCACCTCCTTGGTATGAAACTGACACTTCTCCAGTTTCACCCACAGCTGGTTGGCTTGCAGCCTGCTCAACACTTCTCTGACGTCTCTCACATGCTGCTCCTCATTCTCAGAATACACCAACACGTGGCCACACAATTCTTGTAAAGCAAAGGCCCCAGGACGTGGTTCATAAACGATTGAAATGTTGCGGAGCCTGCTTGTAGGCCGAAGGGCATAACCAAATATTCAAATGCCCCTAAAGGGGTGAACATAGTGGTTTTCCATTCATCCCCCTTCCTTATTCGTACCAGGTTGTACGCCCCCCTTAGGTCCAGCTTTGTGAAAATCTTTCCCTTCCGCACCCTTGTCAAAATGTCGTCAATCCTGGGCATAGGGAAGGCTACTGGTTCTGACACTGCATTTAAGGCCCTGAAGTCACACACCAGCCTCGGCTTGTTCGTGTTTTCTTATCCACAAAAACACTGGGCTGCCCCCACCGCCCTGGACTCTCTGATGAACCCTCTCTTCAGGTTCTTGTCAATGAACTCTCTTAACTCCTGCATCTCTCTGTCTGACATGGCGTACAGCTTGCCTACAGGGAGCTGTGCTCCAGGGAGTAAGTTGATTTGACAGTCAAAGGGTCTATGCGGGGGTAGTTGGTCAGCTTCCCTTTCGCTGAAGACGTCACGGAGATCTGCATATTGTCGTGGTACCTTCACGTTCTCTGTTACTTCAGTCCCTGCTAGGGTGGCTTGGACCCCTGCCAAACCCTTTCCCTCTTTGCAGTGTTCTAAGCAATGTGCTGAACCAAAAGAAACCACTCTCTGATGCCAGCCCACCAGCGGATCATGTAACGCTAGCCAGCTCATCCCCAATATAATGGGAGCTCCTCCCAAGGTGGCCACATTAAAAGCTATCAGTTCGGTGTGCCTTGCTACCTTCATTATCATTGGGACGGTCTGCAAGCTGACTTCTCCACCCAACAGCTCCCTGCCATCGATAGTGGTCACCTGCAGGGGGCTGCTTAAAGGATTGTCTGTATCTGGTGTTCAGCTGCAAACTCTTTGCTCATGAAATTGCAGGAGCTGCCTGAGTCCAACAGCGCCTTTATCTTTAGAGGGTGTCCGTTTGGCAGCTCTAGCGTCACTTCTATCACTAGGGCGGGTTTAGGAGGTTCTGGCGTGGGCACTCTCACTGCTCTTTGGCCTGGCTGCTGTGCCCTGACAGTGGCAGCCAGGCGTTGGCTTTTACTTGCTCCGGTATATTTTCCTCTCTTCCATCCACAGCTCCTACCATCCCTTGCCATTCTTTCCTCTGGGGGCAGACTCTGGCAAAGTGACCTGGCTGTTGGCAGAGATAGCATTTCCGGGCGCCTTTTCCCTCCTTCTTTGCCCCCTCACTGGGCTTTGAAACTGCGCGCGCGCGCGCTGTTCCGATTTCCATCGGCTCTGCCGGTGGGAAAGTTGGCTCTGGAATGTCTGGAATGCGGAACTCCTTCCAACGTTCCCCTTTCCCTTCCCGCCTC